GCGGGCGCCCGGGCGCTGGAGTGGTACACGGCGTGGGTGAGCACGGCCTACGTGGAGCCGCTCAGCAACCGCACGGTGCGCGGCAACACGGAGAGCGGCCGCTACGGGGACAGCTCGCCCAAGGAGAGCGCCCAGGGCCTGGTGGGCATTCCCCGCGGCGCCTCGCCCCGCCACATGGAGGGCTGCGCCGCCGACACCGACTACGACGTGCCGCTGCCGCCCGGCGGCCGCGGGCCCCCCGAGGGCGACCCGCCGCCCTGGATCGCCCTGGTGGCCCGCGGCGGCTGCACCTTCAAGGACAAGGTCACCAACGCGGCGCGGAAGCGGGCGGCCGCCGTGGTCATCTACAACGAGGCCCGCTTCGGCAACAGCACCGTCTCCATGTCCCACCTGGGTGAGCTCGCCGCGGGTCGGGGGAATGCTTTCCGGGAGGTCGCTTTGTCTAATGCCCGCCCGCATCGGTGATGCGGTGAGGAGTGGGGAGGCAGAAATCCCTGTAAAAATGGTACAGGCAGCCGGGATTTTATATTCCTGCAAGCCACACTAGGGAAAACGCCGGGACCGTCTTCTGGTCTCCCAAGTTACGGTCCGGCCGTCAGGGAGGAAATGCGGCATAGCCATCGGGACCGGCAGCCGTGTGACACAGTGGGGTGGGAGGCTTGGATTTCCTTTAAGTGTACCTTTTTGCCTGTTACCGTCTGGCAGAATGGCTACAGCGGTCACAGGTAGGCCGCTTTCTGCAGGCCGTGTGAAAACACACCAGGTATCCCGAAGATGCCTGCGGGTGCTTTTGAAGATACAGTCCTAGCTCTTTGAAGAAAGCTTTTGGTACAGGCTTTGTTGTAATAGCTTCGTCGGCGTCTCCTGCGCAGGTCTGTGAAGGGTGGGAGAAAGGTGTAAGCATCAGGTAATCCTTAAATGCTTGCAACTGTGGTAGGAAAACTGAATCCTGGAGAAGGATGTTGGCTTGTCTCAGCGTGCTGCTGCTGTGTGACCTGCAGAAGGATTCTGTGATTTTTGCCAGAGATAGAACATCTGAATTCCTATGACTACAGTCCCTGTTTGGGCTATGACACAAAAGACTTGCCGAATTTTTATGGTTATATACAACATAAAATGCYTAAAGAAGGGAAAACAGCCTCACAACTTGGAAGTAAGATCTGTTTGCTTTTGTTGATTTTTGAGAAACTGGAGGGTATTCAGAGGAAGATGTGAAGACCAGGCAACCTAAGTAAAAAATTTTGTAGATGTGTGTACTTMGAATGGTTTTGCTACAATTAGTTTATTAATTATTGGGCTCTCATTCTTGATTGTTAGGAAGGAAAGGACCAAGGACTTTCTTGAAGTAAAACCATAATGTGTTTCTAAAGGAAGTGAACTTATTAGGACAGTGAGCTGAAAATCTCAATTAAGAGCTGTTGCTCTATCACACATGTGATTTATCAATTCAAAAACAAGTCTCTCCTCTTGGAATACCCAGTGGCACCAGCTGGGGGATTGGAAACGTGATTACTCTTCTTAGCTGGCTGYTTGCTTGAGATCAGCCTGGCCCATCTCATATTCCTAATTCACTGTGAAAGTGGAGRTGAGATGCTAGATAAAATGAACCTTTGGTTTTGATCCCA